ATGAGACGAAGGTGTCTGGTCTTTTTTTCATTACTACTGTTGTGTTAGCAAGCAGCAGTCACAAGTGTAGAGACCATGCTGATGAGAACACAGCTGCGATGGGCAGGGCATGTCTCCAGGATGAAGGACCACCGCCTCCCCAAGATCTTGCTTTATGGTGAACTTGCCACTAGCTGTCGCAAGAGAGGAGCCCCGAAGAGAAGATACAAGGACTCCCTGAAACAACATCTCAGCCTTGGTCGTATTGATCACCATAACTGGTCTACTCTGGCCTCAAATCGGGAGGCCTGGAGACACACCATCTATAACGCTGCGGATGCCTTTGAGAACACACGCAGGATCACTCTCGAGGAGAAAAGGCAACGCAGGAAGAACCGTGTCTTGTGGAATACACCATCTAAGGAGTCTTTCTGTTGTGCCTTTTGCAATTGGACATGTCTGTCATGTATTGGCCTCATAAGTCACCAACGAACCTGTAACAAATGTGGATAAAGCCTTCCCAAATCTTTGTTCGCGAAGCCCAGCCATGATGATGATGTTGTGTTAATGAACCAGTCAAGTTCTTCCCTCTGTTAAAGAAATGCAACTGAAGGCAGCTGTCTTGCCCAGAATCCAGTAATGGACAAGTTTGACCTTTTTCGGTTCTTTACGTGTTTTCTGAAGCTAATGCAGATCTCTCCATAGAGTGGGAATTTGTTTAAACGTTTTGAAGAACAGTATTTCATAAAAGCATGGCACACACGCCAAGCTGTAAAGCCTGGGAAAACAACACCATTCAGTTTATTTTTAAGTGCTCGATTTAAGTGCAGTTAGTTTCCCATCAGAGGCTAATTCCTATGGAACATGCCTTATTGCCAATGCCAGGTTAGGTGCCTGGTGAGGGTTTTTGCTACAGATTTGAAGTCATCAGGACTCCATTTTTCCTGCCTGTATGAAAGACAGAGTTTATTTTTTTTTATGAGATCCATGCCTGGAAAGCTCCCCAGGCAGCCACCAGGCCCCAGTATGGCAGCAAGGTTGTTTGGAGCAATCACCCCAACACCTGACTCCAGCCTCACACCCCTGTTTGCCAACATGGCTGTCCCTGACACCACCCTGCTCACCAGGTCCGGTGTCTCTGACAGCATGGGGAGGCCCTCAACCACCTGGGAGGCTGGGAGTCTTGGAAACTCTTCGTTGATGTTGAAGTCATGATCCAAATTGTCATCCAAATCATCCAGCTTAAATTGCTACTGCCACTGGGGAAACGAGCACAGTATTGAGATACCGAAAGAATCTACAGGGCTCGTGGCAGAGGATCGAGCCCTCTTCTGGTAACTCACAGCTGAGTCAGAGATGGAGATGCTTTCTGAAGAAGAAGAGCTGGGACTCCTGGGCAACCAGTCTACTCAGAGCAAGACAGAGAATATCCATAATGTCCTGCCTGTAACCTTGAGAACAGAGAAGATCTGTGCTACAGTTGCATTGCCACTGCAAGGCAGAGCACTGTCAGCAGGGCTGCCTTGACAACAGCATGGCCTGGGCCAGTCCCACATGGCTTGTGGTGCCTGGAGGCGTTGCCTGGGCAGGTGGGAGGTGGTGTTCCCCATGAGGTTGGGAGTAGCATGGTGGCTCTGGGCTGGATCAGCCAGCTTTGGCTGCTGTGGGCCTGGACAACTCACCAGGGCTGGAAAGCTCTGCACAGGCAGCACTTCTCCAGCAGCCCAGCAGCAGAGGCCCTCCCAGCAGATGCTGGCACAGCCACCATCCGACTGGCCACGGTTACCTCTTTGGGGCTGCCAAGGGCCTGGATGGAGTCCACAACTTCCTGTTCTTCTCTGTACAGTTCCACGGCCGCTACGAGCGGTGCCGCTGCTGCCCCTGCGGGCAGCAATGCCTGTGATCTCTCTGGAAAAAATGGCAATCCTCTGGAATGGCCTTCTGGTGAAGAAGAGTGTACCCTGGCAGACAAAGATTCCTTTACCCATTCAAAAAGGACCATTTTTGTTCATCAGTCTGTATTATGCTCCTGTCCTCATTCATCTTTACCATCTCTTCTGTAGTTCTAGATTCCTTAACTGCTAAGCCTGCTTTGGACTTTTCGTATTGGTTCAAATCTCCGTGCCTTTTCCCTGCTAAGCTCAACTCAGAGTCTCCCTCCTTGTCTTTCTATCTCCCTTCCTAGATTTTTTGCTCAAAGTTTCTTTACCCTGACTTTGCCTAAGTTTCTTGTTCCCACTTTTCCATCCAAGTTGTCTCCTACTATCCCATCATGACTCCCAGTCCAAGTCTCCAATACCAGGCCTGTTCAATTTCAGTGACCCTGCCTTTGTAATGCATTTATTTGTATCCTTCCTTGGATTTCCAATGGGTAATACTCCTGTAATGTATGTGTAAAAGAGAAACATTGTTTCAGAATTTGCCAGGTATATCCTGCAACTTGGGACAGTTGATCTATCATGTCTTTTAAAGTATTACTTTTTAGATAAACTACACTCTACATATGAAGGTTATTTTTAAAAGAATAATGATTCTTTAATTTAGTGTTCTGCACTTCAAATTCACATTTGTCATGAATTTATATCAACTGTCCTGACTGCCCTTATGTATAAAACAAACCTTAGGAGAGGAATATTTGAATATAGCCTGAACTGGTACCTTTGAGTCATCTTACCACTTCTCGTTGTTCACTAGCTTAAATCTTGACTTTTTTACACTCTGAATAGGATATGATACAAAACAAAACCACAATACCTGACGGCAAAGAGAAAGTGCAGAAGGTTCAGAGATACCATTAATATGGAGGGGAATATCAATCAATGTATATTTTTCTTCTGCAGCATTTTCATGGAAAGCCTACATTATTTTTATTTAAATTTTGGTAAGATGACTTGGTGCAGCTGCCAGAGCTGAGGCATATGGGATCAATAAAAAGAATTCAAAGAAGAGAGCATGTATGTAAACAATAGGGGGTAACTCAGCAAGAATCAAGCGTGTACTTTTTAGTTAATTAAAAGCAAAATCCTGGTTCTAAGCTTCTGGTGGTTCATAATCCCTCTAAGGATTT